ACTCACCGTTCATATATATATATTTTGAAAATATAAAGTGGGTGCCATAAAATGGGGTGGCAGCTGATACGCTATGAACAAATTTCTATATCTCCAGGCTTAACAAAAAATTCAAGGTAATTTTTTTAGCAATAAAAATTTAAACTTTGGTTCAGTCATCCAAAATTTTGATTTCAACAAACTTGCAGTCAAACACTAAGCGACATAACAAGTCAGACAAATAATACCAGAATTAGTCCAATTCTAGTCAAATTAAGCTCATTAAAAGTTGTTAAATCACATTTAGAATATTTTAGTGCATAATTAGAAAGTCAAACAAATTCCAACACTAACATGCTTATAGTTAAATCGAGCGTCTCAATAAAATGAATCTAATGAGTCTAATATCACTCAATGTTGACATTATTAAGGCATATATATGTCCACAAAACACTATTCAAAATAGGGAACCTCTTCAGGTCATTCAATCAGAGAGGTCTGAATTTGTTCCTTATTTGCAAAGAGGCCTCTCTAAAATTCTATACAAAAAGCTCTACCCCCTTCTTGAGAGAGAGAGAGAGAGAGAGAAGACCTTGAGCCAGAAGAAGACTAACGCTTAGAGGAGCTAAAGTCCAGCATCGCTTATGCACTACAGTTATGGTTAACGTATCTCACACATATAGTCACGGACCATTGTCATCACTGCCCAACACCTATTGTTGACCACCATTGGCCACCTTAGACTTGTTGTAATGAACCTTCTTGAGGAATAATGACGTGTTTTATAGAATCCTGATGTGTACTATAGAGTAACAAGGTGTCTTACAGCACCTCAAATACAGTGCAATGATGTCTCGTAAATACGGTGTAACAATGCACCCCAAATATAATGCAATAACACACCCCAATTATAGTGTAATAGCATACCCCTCATAAATGCAATGAAGTCATTCAAAGACGGTGTAACAACGCACTTTGAATACAGTGCAAGGGCACACCCAGATGACAGTGTAACATCGCATCCCACATACGGAGCAACGACACATAGCAAAGATAGTGTAACAACGCACCATGAATATATTGCAATGAAACACCTAAATAATGGTGCACAATGCACCCCACACACGGTGCAACAATTTCTCCCAAAAACGGTGTAATGATGCACTTTAAATACAGTAAAATGATACACCCCAATGAAGCTGTAACAACTCACCCCACATACAACGCAATGATGTTTCTGGAAGATGGTGTAACAATGCACCCCGAGTATGATTTAACGACACACCCCAATGATAGTGTAACAATCAAGCTTAAATATGATACAACAATGCCTCCCGAAGATGGTGTAACATTGCAACCCAAATACATTGCGACAATGTACTCCACATAGAATGTAGTGACACCTGTCAAAACTGATGTAACAATGCACACCGAAAACGAAGACTTTCTCTGAAATAGTAAGGCTCTCTGTTTTCAACCCACCACTACAACCTACACG